AAAAAAAAAAAAAAAAAAAAAAAAAAAAAAAAAAAAAAAAAAAAAAAAAAAATCAGAAGATACCAAACAAGAAATGTGATACTGCCCATCCAAAGCATTAAAGGTCATGAACCAGGTCCCCCAAATAATCCAAACTGACTGAGGTGATTTAATTAAACTATCTGCTTTCTGGTTTGACCCTTTAGGTTTCAGTTTTATCTCTGTCAGCTGCAGCAGACAACATTTAAATAAAACACATAAGTATTTAGAGTCAGAGCTATGTCTTTTATTAATGATGGAAGTAACATTTTTCAACAATGAAGAAAAAAGCATAGTAGATGAAAAAAACTGCACTGCAATGAATCAGTGTGAGGAATGAGGAAAAGATATGCAGTAGTGCACATTAAGAAAAAAGCAGCTAAGCATCCTTTTCATGTTCAGAACTAGCTTTAAACAAATTCCCCCAAACAAAAAGCACTGTACAAACAAAACACTTTTTTAATCTGCAGAAGAGTTTAGATAGAGCAGCCAAGTAAGGACAAAATTCCCTTTGGATAGAATGTATGAAACTAGAAAAGGGGAAAACTAACTTGAAAAAAATAAGTTTTGGGGGGTCTTAAAACCATTCCTAATATTCTATGCAATTTCATTCATACTTCTAAATACACTGGTAAGAATGAACTATGCCCAGCAGCCGTAACCAAATGGGTACTTCATGTGCACGCAGCTTTGCTGACTTATTTCTAACAAGTGTGAAACTGGACAGGCATTTACATGTCACTTCATAGCTTTCGTAATCTGTTCTCAACATTTTGGTTTACGGCAAATTAACTTCTAACAGTCTAGCACTTCTTCCCTCCCCTTCCCCAAATTCTTTAGTTCCATTCTTAATGAAACAGAACTCAAAAGATTGTGCAACACAAAGAGCAGCACAGCTGCAATGTCAAGACAAATTAGTCTAAATACAGCAAATGAGAATATGAAGAAATACTGTTTGGGAAAGTGATTTTTTAAATTAAGTTTTGGATTAATTATTCTTAAAGTAGAAAGCAAGCATCCAGAGAAAACAACATTAGCTGTACGCAGCTCAGGACAATGAATACTGAATGCAGGAGGCACAATGTGGGAAAGGACGTGCTACCTCGTATTTACAGGATTGCCTTCTTAAAGAAGCAAATAAGGCAGGCAACATATAAGGTCCTTTAAGTCTGTTTGTCAATACAGTCATCTTTTCATACTTTCTTGCTTTCCACCAATCCTCAACAGTCCTCTTAAACTATTTGAATAGTGTGAGATGCTTTACTGAAAACAGGAATTCCTTTATGCCAAAGAAATGGCTCTYATTTTCCATACCTTGGGGATGGAGTGTGGTTATCTTTAACAGGCTGCTCAGCAGACATGGGTGTTTACACCTATTTACAGGCTATTCCTGACTGCCACGGCAGCCAACTGGATGGCTGTATAAAGGCGTGCGATGCTTTGCTCACCATGCCCTCTGCTTTCTCTTCATGTTAAACACCATTTAGCCAGACTCAGGAGTCAGAATTTGGGATTAGTCACATGAGACCCATCTGGCAACTATGGCAGTGCCTGGAACTCCAGTGGAGATAAGAGCCTGCTCCTTTTGTGCTTGCGGGTCATATAGCTACCATCACCAGCACCTGATAAATGAAGGGTGGTTTTGCTTAAAATTCAAGTTATATCCTCTCTGTCTCAACAGAAGCATTCAGCATTCCTTCTTTCCCATTCTTCCTCAGGGAAAACAGCAGCCCACATTGCAGGTTTTCCTACTTCCGTGCAGGGGAGGAAGCAGCCACTTACCTCCAAATGAAATGTAAAAATTACCATGCGTCCCAGTTTCTCTTTCTATCCCAATATCAGGGAAGAAAGGCAAGAAGCTCTGATAAGAGACTTC